GTTAAAATGGGATGATGTGCCCCACTTTTGATTTAAATTCCATTGCACTTATCTCCAGGAATTAGCAAAAAAATGTTTTTCTCATAATAAAAATCATTAACAGCTATTTGACATCTTGAAGAATAACTTGTTTGAGGATAAAATTTATCCTGACACAAATAAAAAATATTTCCAAAACGAAAGAAAGCATCAGAAATTCTGTGTAACTCTTTGCTAAAAGAAAGATAACCCTAAGCTACTTCATAGATATTTTTCTTCTTCATTATATGGAATGGTCATGAACATTTGCATTTTTAGAGTCAGAGGGACCATTAAGGAGAAAAACTGTTCTGAAATATATTACAACAGGATTGATTTACACTCTCTGCTGGCTCTGTATACTTGGAATTCATTGTAATTCTTATGGCTTGGGATGATGTTTACCTTTGCTGTATCTATGATGAAAGATTTGTTAAATTAATTCCTGCAGCAAGTAAAGCCGATTTTAAAGCAGTTTAATCGTTTTTGTCTGCAGAAGGTGCTGCTGGTTTCCAGCAGGTCTTCCTCTCTCTCTTATCACCGCAGGCCACCAGGCCTCTCCAGGCTCATGGCTGCACTGTCCGTCTTCCTACCAAATGCACACCGGGAGCAAGACGCCCCCCGTCAGGTGAAATCCCACAGATCTGTAGCCAGACTGAGTGTCTTTTCCTGTCCCTGCCTGGAGTGGGCTCTGCGGGTGGACTACTCGTTTCTCTCTGTGGCGCCATCCCTGTTGTCCAGGTGTATCAATGAGAGGAAACCACCTTTGGGTTAAGCTTCCTTCTCCCTCATAAGGCCATCCTGGGATTGTCCCACGTTCAGTTCAGTCTTTCGGCTGTCTCCTTAGTTTTCCATTCTTCTTCATTCCATTTCCTAGCCCTTGAAATAGCTCCATTGTTATGCAGTCCTCAAACCCCGACAGCTGACCTGACATCTGGCTCACGCTCTCGAGACTTGGTTAGGACCCATCACCACCAACCCATCATCCCGTTCCTGGATTGAAGCTGTCTGATCTCATTGGTTTTACTACTTATATCTTATCTTCTCCATAGAATCATCACAGTAGTTTTTCTGAAATACTTATTTTCCTACCATTTTCCCTCTTAAGGACTTAGAGTGTCTTCTTTTTGCATACTAGATAAAATATAAATGTCTCTTCCCTATATGTAAAGCCCTGTATCACTTGATGCTCCTTTGGTCATTAAGTCAGTTTCCTTGCTAGTCCTGGGGTAGATCCTCTGATCTGGTCAGCCCATTTCCCCTATCTCAGCCTCCTCCCCCCTCCCAGAAGAGACACAGACATGCACACAAAAGGAAAACACCAGTTTCCTCCTCTCTGTCTGTTAGAGGAAGAGAGGCTTTTACTCTTGGGATGCCTTATGCTTTATCCTTCAACTTCTGTCAAATGAAAGATTTCTTTAAAAGTCATCTTCTCTAAAAAACTATCTGAGATTAGGTTTCATCCCAAGTAGACTTCTAAATAATCTTGAACATATAATCCTTTGCATAGTCTTGGACTCTCAGAGCTGAACTCAGTCACACCTCACACTGAATTTAGCACTGCCTGCCACAGCAGCCCCGAGAGATTCATTCTTCTCTCCAACCTGGTATTGGACTGGCACTCTTGATGGGCTGTGGATGCAAAGACGGAACAACGAGGTGCCTGCTCTCAAGAAGTTTACACTCTCTCTAATAGGGGAAACAGACAGTTCAGTTACAAAGCAGGAAAGGTAAAGAGACAGAAGACTGTACAAGGCAGGGTGGTGACATGGGGGAGAAAGTGACTAAATCTGAGCAATAGGGAAGAGGAGGTGATGCTTGTGCTGTGTCCTGAGAGGTGAGGAGGAATTATCCAGCAGACAAGTCACAGAAGGCATTCGCAGGAAGGGAGCAGCATGGAATAGTCTTTCGCTTCTGAACTTCTCTAGCATGTAAGCGTCCAGTCAGCATCATGCCACCCCACACTGGTTTGTGTATCACCTGGAAATCCATTTCTTGTTTAACAAACATCTTGATATCCTCCAAACAGAAGATACTTTTTTTAAGGAGAAGGGCCATGTTTTCTGTTTGCTTTTGTATCCCTCACATTGCCTGGTAATATCAGGTAGGAAGGAGGGGATTCTTTGTGTTTTGTTTTAATGTAAAGGGATACTATAGACCCACTGTAAGGATGCGTTTTCCCTGCTTGTCTAGCATTCTGGACTCCAACCATTTATTCCTCCTTGCTTATACCTCCTATATCTGTCCTTCCATCTACTTCTGTGACTAACGCTGTGTGCACACAAGATGGCTGGTCCATGTTATGGGAGAGACTTGACTTTGGCCATGGAATGAAATAGAACAAATTGGGTTGTATGGGAATGGAAGCTGTGGTCTTGAGCTTCCCGATTGATGGTTTAAACAAGTAAGTTAACCAGCCACAGACTGGTGTTACATCCTTGCTCGTGGAATGATTTGAGTAATCCCTTTATAATATTCTAAATATGATAAGTCATAATCATTCTGAGCTTGGTAAGTCATCACAAAAGAGTGCTTTCCTTTTCAGGGATGCTTAGTAAGACCCTCGGGTTCTTGAAGAGGTCTGCCTCTGCTCTGTAGCTCCACTCACCACTATCTCCCTTCCAGATATTTGGCTTTCGTGTGGCACAGTGAAACAGAGTATCTGAGGACTGCTTTCCTACGAGAGGAAAGAGATCTGAGGCAGTTTTTCCTTTTATGATGGATGTGACAGATGCAGCAGCTAAGTGTCCCCAAATATCTGTTCTCCCTTCATATTAATAGAGCCCCTGATTTCTAGCTGGACATGTGGTTACCCTGAATAGATATTCAATTTCCCACTCTCCCTTCCAGCTCGTTGTGGCAGTGTGACTAAACTCAGAGCAGTGGGATGCAGGAGGGGGTGATCTAGCAACTGTGGGTTGAGTCCTTTAAGAAGGGAGCATGCTGTCCCCTTCCTGATGTTTTCACCATCCCCCTGGCTGGAACATGGCTGTGAGGGTTAGCTATCCTGGACCTTAGAGAGGAGGACAACACCTTCAGGGTGGGAGAGGAACAAGATAGAAGGAACCTGGGGCCCTGAGTGAACCCAGACTGCTTGTGTCAAAGAGAAATATCATCCTGGCTTAGCTGTCTGTCTCTGCAGCTAATTAACACATTGGGGGATAAAAAAGTTATGCAGTTCAGCTGAGTGATATGAACAAGATGTGAAACATATTTTTAAAGATATTTAATAAGACTTTTTTTCAAATCAGTACAAAAATTTAAATACAAAAATGATTTGCTATAGACAAATCTCAAATCTATCATGGAAACTCAAAAAAGTTACCAGTCTGTTCACCGTTCATGATATTCTGTAAAATATTTGAGAACAGTCACCCACTACAGACATTCTTTTCCCTCGTGGGGTGTCATACTGCAGTAAAACTCTGTACTTAAATAACAATCATGCCAGTTTGGTCCATTTCACATGGAAAAGTTCTAGTTAGTTTTGAATTCAATAGGGATGATGGCGCTGTCCCCAGACTTCAGAACACGTGCTGGTTTCATCTGCTTTTACACTGATGTGTTAACGTGATGTGCAGCACTCGAAAGGGAGACACAGACATAGAGATAATTACTTAAACTCTTCTTTAAATTAAATGGAGTAATTCATTTAGCTCTGAGATTAGCACCATTGTAGAATACACAGTATCTGGCATAGATTTTGCTCCTCCCCTACCTAAAAGTTAGAAGCATATGCCTGATAATACACACACACACACACACACATACCACATGCACACGCACACACATATATTTAGGCAATTGAGCAAAACCAATAAATAAGTTGGAAGGTATTTTGAAAAGTGAAATTTGGTTTTAACTAAAGAGGTACTTTCTCTCTTGATGGAAATAAAAAGCCCATACATGTACAGATAAATACAGTTTTACAAATCAGCTGATCTGACTTGCTTCCAAGCCATTTCAGTGCAACTATTCAGCAGCAGGAGTCCAGTGGATCCATGTTGCCCCATAGTCATCAGCCCAAAACCAGCATCCTCAAGACCAACCAAAAGGCTATTTGGCCGTGTAAATGTTGTCTGCATTGAAAATGAAGGTTGGGTGGGACATCTTTTGATGGGAAAAGTTTGTCATATAATTAGCAGTGAGTTAGAAACCCTGTGGTAGTGAACTCATTTCTCTATATAAGAAATTGAGAAGAAATGGTGCTTGTATATCATGTAAGGGAAAAGACAGATGTTATTAGGTTGAGAATTTTCTTGATGGTTAAAATCATTCAGATTTGACATAGACACATTTCCATGTGGGTTTATACCGTATTTATTTGTGTATTTTCCCATCTGTACCTATCCCCTCAACTCCTCACTCTTAATTTTGAGGAAAGTATACAAGGGTCCACCACCATAACCCCACGTTATTTTCCCCAGTGGCATGTAGCGTCAGCAGCAGACTCATAGCCAACTGGAAATGCTTTACCTGTGTTTTGAGACCAGATTTGAATGCCTGAAGCAGTTAGCATGTACCTAAGTGAAAACCTGGGAAAATGTTTATTTTTCCTTTTAAACTTGCATTGACTCTTGACTCGTGCTGAATATGGGGCGACATAAAAATCACAGGCTGTCACTGTGCTTTGACATTGCAGACGGCTTTGCCACAGTTTGCTTCGAAAGAAACAGTTCTTTTCCTACAATTTTAGTACCTACACCAGGAAGTAGTACATCCATTTTTAAATTTCAAACTTCAGAAATTATTTTTTCAAAAAAATTTATTTTCCTATGTAATTCTGAAATTCCTCCCCACAAATAAAGGCTGGCTTGGATTTTGGAAATTGATTTTGGAACCTCAGACGACACACCCATTTGCATATATACTACACGGGGAAATTTCTTCAAAACTCAACAGCTACTAAAAAATATTGATATCTTCTTCATGGATGACACCTCACTGTAGTCATTTGTGCAGGCAAAGGAGGGGGATTTTTATATGCATGTAAACACAATAACTGCTATTGATAATGAACATTCCAGAAAACTGGAAAGTTACTGGGGAAGAGGGTTATTATTTTTTTTCTTGTAACTTCCAGGTGTTCATATTAGTTGGGCCATAGTCGAAATTACATGGAGGGAAGAAAAAAGAAAAAAAATCACAGGAATAAAAAACAAACAAAAAGAAACCTTGAGGAATAAATGAATTAATTACTGCTCATGTCTCCCAGCTGGCTTGTGAGCTCCTGTCTATGCCCCACAGAAGTGTCTCACCCAGTGCTAGCATGGAGAAGACACTGGATAAATACACAGCGTTGACTGGTTCACACGTTCTGGAGACACGAGACACACGATTCTTTGTAGGACTCCTGTTGCTAAAGACACAGCCTCTGTGGGGAGAGAAACATTCCTCGGACTGAAGTTCTACCGTGGTCCCCTGGCCTCTCCCAGTGGGGCATTAACACTGCAGAACTCCCCACCCCCTCAAACCATGGCAAAATATCTGCACAAATACAGAGGAAATTATGCAAGTAAATACGGTATGTAATTGTTACCATTGACATCTCTTTAAGCCATATTTATAAATATTTTAAACAATATGAGTGAGTGACTTTCATTAGCTATGATTTCATACTGAAATATTTTGACTGATCTGAATAAGCAGGTTATCATGGAAGCTTATAACATACAACAGCTAATATGATTCCAGTGGGTACAATGGGTGTCAGTACTTGATACATAAATCTATCCCCTCCTTTTCAATTACAAGCTGCTGTGCGGAGCATTCAACATGCATCTTAGTTTTTATTTGTACATGATGGTTCAAATTTTCACTTAAATATAACTTTCCAACTATATAAATGTTTTGAAGCAATTATGTTTTTCATTTGGATTTTTTGGTGCGTCATTTTCATTTCTTCTATTAACTCTCTCTCTCTCTTTTCTTTTTTACATGGGATATAATAAATATCCTGAAAAGGAGGAGTGGACGTACTGCCCGGCGTATAGCCCCGCAGCCTGTTCTGAGGGCAGCTGGAGGAACACGCGGTCCCCGGGCCTGAGCAGCAGCACCGCGCTCCCCGACGCCTGGTCCAGAAAGCCCTTTTTGTACTCGTCGTACGTGTACATCACAGGCTCGTTGTTCTTGAACAGGGCAACCCATACGTTACCCCCCTTGCAGTGAACGTGGTATGCAAAGTAGTAGACGCCGGGGACCTCGCAGGTGAAGATGCCCGTCTGCGGGTTGTAGTTCTGTCTGCCGTTATAGAGCAGTTTGTCAAACTTCACTGGGGCCCCCACGGGGGGGAAGGGTGCAGTCAGCTCAGCGGTAAACGCGGGCATCTCGTAGGCTGGCCCTCCGTTCTTGCCCTTCTTAGCCCCATAGGCATGGGGGGGCTTCACACCATCAATCCCTACCCCCATGTCGGGAAGATACTCTCCATGGGGTGGTGGTGTAGGGGGCATCCCAGCTGGGGCGCCTGGGGGCCCTGGAGGGCCAGGGGGCCCAGGAAGGCCAGGCTGGCCTTGAGGACCGAGGGCACCGGGCTTTCCTGGGGGGCCATGAAGTCCTGCTACCCCGGGCTTCCCCACTCCAGGGAACCCAGGGGGCCCTGGGAGGCCTGGTTCCCCCTTGGGGCCTGGAATTCCAGGTGGTCCAATGGGGCCACTAGGGCCTGTGATCCCTGGGATGCCCGGGGGGCCCTGTAAACCCTGAACCCCTGGGATTCCTGGTTCTCCCTTTGGTCCAAGAAGCCCTGGAGCACCGGGGAGCCCTGGCAAACCTTTGAGCCCAGCTTCCCCCTTGGGCCCTATGGGACCTGGCAAACCCCTTATGCCAGGGGGCCCCACTTCGCCCAGGAAACCTGGCTTTCCTGGGAAGCCTTGAAGCCCTGGTTCACCCTTGGGACCTGGTGGCCCCTGTGGCCCTATAATCCCACCTTCTCCTTTGGGTCCAGGAAAACCAATGGCACCTGGAGGGCCCATAGGACCTGGGATGCCAGGCAGGCCTGGCTCTCCTGGGGGACCCCCCACTCCAGGAGGACCTACTGGTCCTTTCTCCCCTCTCGGTCCCAGAACCCCAGGAAGACCCCCTACACCCCTTTCGCCTTTGGGTCCTGGGAAGCCTGGTTTCCCAATCCCAGGAAGGCCTGGGGGTCCTGGCAGCCCTGGCAGTCCCTGCTCCCCTTTGCCACCTGGAAATCCGGGCTGCCCAGGGATCCCATCCTGGCCTGGTTTTCCAATTCCAGGTATCCCAGGAGGTCCTTGAATCCCGGGGACCCCAATAGGACCTTGTGGCCCAGGCTCTCCTGGAGGACCTGGCTTTCCCAGAGGGCCCTGGGGCCCAGGAAAGCCAGTCACTCCGGGTTTGCCCACTCCTGGAAGTCCGACAGGGCCAGGAGGGCCGTGCATCCCTGGAGGGCCCTTCAGGCCTGGCAAACCTGGCATCCCGAAGCCCTTCTCTCCTTTGGGACCCTGAAGGCCTGGAGGTCCTGGTGGTCCTTTGGGCCCTCGCTCACCCTTTGCACCCGGTGGCCCTGGTAACCCCGGCCCACCTGGCTTCCCAATGCCAGGAAGTCCGTGAGGGCCCGGAGGCCCTTGTGGCCCTGGGACCCCCATAGGCCCTATCTCTCCTTTGGGTCCAATCTCGCCTTTTGCCCCGGGCATTCCCATGGCCCCGGGCTTTCCTGGCATTCCAGGCATACCTGGCTTTCCAACTCCTGGGTATCCCTGTGGCCCTGGTTTTCCTTTGATTCCAGGTATCCCATGACCTGGCAACCCGGGGGGCCCAGGTGGTCCTCGTGGGCCAGGCTCTCCACGGGGACCTTGCTCCCCTCGTAAACTGGCTACTGGCATTTCTACTGAGAAAGAGGGGATAGAGAGAGAGGGAGGGAGGGAGAGAGAGAGACGGAGAGATTAATATTGATTTTCCTTCCCTTCAAGGAAGCCACAACAATGATTATTTAGTTCTGGCACATTTGCCTATTACTTATTGAGGGGAAGGACTAGGAATACCGTGCTTGTCTTCCAGGACTGTTTGTTATCAGTACTTAAAGGACAATCAAGCTGATCATCTCTTTGACATATCTGAGATAATGTTTGAGAGCTGATATCTGCAGCTGCTTTTATCAGCATTGGTTAAGTAAAAAGGCTAAAAAGTAATGAAGAAACATTTTTGCAAGCACAAAAGTTGACGATATTATGGTATGTTCACTGTAGAGAATTTAGAAAATTCAAAGAAGGATAAGGAAAAATCAAAGTGGCCTATAAGCCCACTATGCAGAGATAATCACATGACATTTATATGTTTTTCCATCTCATGTGTCCTAGGTATATATGTGTGTGTGTATATTTTAAACAATGTTGGAATCATTCTCCATTTTTATTTTTTTCTATTTTTTCCTACTTAATGTTATTTGTATTTTTCCATGTCCTTGATTTTTTAATATAATGATTTATGGCAAAATGATACTTCCTCTTGTGCTAAAATACAGTATGATGTGGATGCTGAAAGTCATTATTCTGTGTACTCAGGGAAGAATAGAAGCATTTTATTTTGTATATGGTTTAATAACAGCTTCCACATCTGTCCTCTAGAGTCAAATATATTTGCTTAATTTCTTTAATGTGCCTAGGATTTCCTAAGCCTCAAATAATAATTCTTCAATACATTATTTCTCATTTGCAAGTTTGGTTTTTAAACAGGAGAAGTGAATAAGGTATTTCAGGATGACAAGCAGTGTGGATAAGGAGTTGAGCTGGCATTAGAGCACGAAGCTCGGCTTCTCTTCCTGGCCTTGAAGTTAGATGTTGATTGGGTCACGTAAGCCCTCAGCGTCTCTGCTTGCCTATCTGTGCAGCAAGAACAATACGCCCACATTACAGGATCATATAGTAGATGTGAAAGGCATATGCTTTTATGAATTATCAAAATACAAAGCACATGTTGTTATAATGATTAGGCTATGCCTTGCAGGGAACACAACTCTGGATCTCCCACGCTACTGGGAGTGATGGATAACAGCAAGAAATGAAACTTATGGTCCCAAAGTCTTATTTTAACCAGTAGTCACATCTGAATCCTGACTGTTGTACCTTTTCACTGAACTGCTGTGAGGGAATAAAGTAGAACTCATATTCTTTCCAAATCCCCTGATTGCACACTGGTACCCATCTAGATGAGCACAGGAAGTGCCACGGACCAGTCAGGCCACCCAAGAGAGGAAGGAAAACACGTGGCTGAGATAATCCCCTGTATGGAACACCAGCGCCCAAAGAGAAGAAAATGGGGACTGCTGCTCCTGCGCTAGGAGATGTTATCACAGGACTCCTAAGGCGTGGTGTTTCCCAGCAGTGGACTGTGCAGCTACTGAATCAAGGGAGCGTCTGGGGCAGGGTCACGTCTTACTCATCAGGAACCCCTGGGCCAGCACAGCACCCGGAACACACTCTGTTCTTACTCAACGGTTTGTTGAATGACTAGCTGCAGCAACTCAAAGTTCATATGGTGCTTTAGTGTTTCCTTAGCACTTTGACTTACCCAACGTCACTGATTCTCTCAACAGTCTTACTTTACAGATGAAAAAAGTCGGTCCAGAGAGCTTAAATGACTGGGTTGCTCTCATTTCTGGCCTCCAGGCATCCAGGCCTCTTAGGGCCAAATCCCCAGACCCCAGAACTGGGGCCTCCTGTTACTGCTGGGAGTGGGCGTAGCCTCCACTTCTTCAAGGGGCACTGCGACTCGGAAGCAGTTCCTTTCCTACAGATGCTAGGTTTCCTAGAACTCCAGAGAGACCAACCAGATTGATGAGAAAGTGTCTCTCACAGTGGTCGGCACTTTGCAGGTGTGGAATATCTAATGAATATGCCTGGAAGTAGTGGGAGAGATTGCCACATCCATCTCTAGCGCAGTCTACCCTTCAGTCTCCTGTCCACTTACTGGCGGCCACGTGTGGTAGCTTCATTAGACTAGTCTTAAAAATACCTGCATCTATCTAGCACCTGGCACACAAAATGTTTTCACATGATTTTTGTTAGTGCTGCAGGACCTTCCTTACAACATCGCTCTCCTGGTTCACGAGACTGACTGGTGCCTTGTTTTCATGGCTTTATCCCCCAGCCTCCAGCCCATAGCCTGACACAAAAACAGATGCTCATTAAATAGTTGCTGAATATTTGAATCAATAAATAATGAATAAGGGAATAAACTATGTTATTAAATTATGTTTTGTGTCATTTGATGCTGTTAAATAATAAAGCACAACGTAAAATGGTAATTTTGTCTATCTTTCCTTAAGACTTGAACTTTTCCAGGATAGAGTTTAGAACACAGTGGGCATTAATGAACGTCAGTAATGCATTCTAAAATAGAAGTTTCTACAATTTAGCTTTCCCCCGACCTCATGGTTTGGGATGTGGGAAGGCTGCCGTTCGGAACCACACGGGAGGAAGACGTTACCTTTGCCCTTCTTGGATGCTGCATCCTTGCCCATTCTGGGCGCCGGCTGAATTTCCTTCATGTATTGGGGTAGATGTGGGTACTCTTTGCCATACTGCACATGGGGCAGCTCCTTGCCCACGTTAAGGCCGTCTTTGCCCAAAGGCATGTGAGGTACTTGCTGGCCCAGGGGCTGGTACTGTGGAATTTGCGGTGGGATCTGAGGAGGAATTTGAGGTGGCAGTGGCTTGATCCCATAGTAGGCACCAGCCCGCGTGAGCCTGACGGAGCCCAGGGAAACGGTAAGCAGCAGTCGCAGCAGCGGCAGTGGGACAGGTGGCACAGCCATCACCTGTGGAGGGAAGGAACGCACCAACGTGGTGAAAACCTGCATGCCAATGGACAGGAGATTACTTAGAGAAAGGGGGGAAAAAGGAAGCACAGTCTTTATCATCAGAACTTCACGAGTGGAAGACCAGTGAAAAGGAAGATGTGACCTTCAATAGAAAACAAACAAATAAAAACCAGAAAGGAGCAGGATCTGTGGCACGAAGGCACTTGGTGGGTTTCTAAGCTATGGGAGAGACTGCCAGCCATCCCAGAATGGCAGTTCTGCCTTGTTCATAGTATGGGGACCCCTGATTTTCAGCTGGAACAGAGCAGCCTGGAATGAAGACATCTCAGCCAGGTGTGGCCATGTGACAACGTTCTGGCCAACTGGATGTAGTTGTAATGGGTGCAACTTCCAAGAAGGATCCTCAAGGGGAGTGGGCATGTTCTTCCTCTTCCTCTTTCTGCTGGCTGGAATGTGGATCCTGCCTGGGAAGGGACCAGACACCTTGGATGTGAAGTGAAAGCTGCGCACTGAGGATGACAGAGCAATAAGCTAGAGGAAGCCTCAGCCCTGGTTGAACTCGGAGGCACCGTACTAACCCTTAAATTTGGAATTGGTTTACACGAGAGAGAAATAAAGGTTTATCTTCTTTAAACCACTGTTATTTGGGGTGCCACATATTTGCACTAAACTTAATCCTAACAGAAGGACTAGATTCTCCAAAAGGAGGCAAACTTGGTGGCAAGTCAGGCTTTGTTCTGACTTGTGCCAGAATTCTCTTCTAAATGGAAACAGTTAATAATATGGGCTTTATGCCAGGGGCATAGATTTTTCACTTGCCAGAGGCCCTTTGGCTGCCTTGGTGTGGTCACAATAAATGTAAAGGTTCAAGAGCAAACAACAGCAACAACAAGAACCAAAGTCTTCTGAATTGGAAAGAAGGTACGTCATGTGACAGTCCCAAAATGTCATTTAAATAAATCACTATGATAATTATGCACATACAGGGATGCCATTTCTTTCTTGTATTTAAATACCATGAAGTCATACGTTCAGAATTTGGCTAATTGGACCTGGAGTCCATTAAAGTTTATCTTTGTACTATTATGAAAGAAAGGAGTTTACAAAGCAAATTAGTTGTATAAATAAGATAGAGATGTTTAACTAATCACAAGAATAAACTGTTTCTAAGCCCTTTGATGACACCCTTTGCAAATTAGCCGTTAATAGAGTAAATATAAATGGGGCTTACCTGTTTATAAAAACCAGCTTGAAAAGACAGCTGTTTGGAAATGCCACGGGCTGAAGCCTGAACAGCCCAGGGAAGTGCAGTGTTTGCAAATGCCCGCTAGAGGGCAGGTGTGGTACACATTGAAGTCAGCTCCTTACTCAGTGCTGCTGACACGGCAAGAGAGGGAGAGATGGAGATGAGAGATGATGAGAGATGGGAGATGATGGGAGACGGGAGATGATGGGAGGGGGAGAGAGAAAGAGGGAGAGGAAGGCAAGTTTCTCACAATTTTTTATGTAAATGTATTCTGGAAACTTTTAATAAACTTCTGTCTATAAATAATTTAATTTCCATTCTGAGAGTTTTTCTTTGCTTCTGCCTTAATTCTGGATCGTAGTTTTCCATGTCTTAGAAAATGTGCATTGACTTTGCAACATCCTATTTGAGAGTAATGCCAAGAGTATGAACAGGCTTCAGAAGAACTGGTTAATAAAAAGCACCTAAGAAAATATTTAATAAGAATACCCACCACAAAATTCACTGCTTTACAATTTTTCCAAATATACTAACTAATCATTTTTTCCCCTTCAGGGGAAAAAAAAATGAAGAAACATCTGTCAGCAAAATAATTTATAAAATTTTCTCCATTTCATAAATCAGAATAGTCTCAAGAACTGTTTATTTCAAGTGTCCTCTACATAATATAGGTACTGATAAACTAGGAGAAGACAGCTGTTATTTTCTGTTCTTCTAAGAATGATTAATTGTTATAAACTATTTGGAAAGAGCCACAAAATTAATATTGATTTATACTCAATAATAGTCAGATATATTTTGGGTGGGAAAAGACCAATCTGCTTTGAGCAGTCAAGGATAATTTATTGAGTACTGACCAGATGCAGGGCCAGAACCGCCCAGGGAGTATTACAAAGATGAACATAATGTAGTCAGTGGGTTCTGCCCTCACAGGGCTTATGCTCTGTTAGTAGGAGTGACGGATGGGTCAACTATTAGTGAGCAGCCAAGGATATCCAAAAAAAAGCAAATTCCCCTCCCACTTCTGTTCTCTAGTATCTAAAATTCCTTCCCTTTGAGCAACAACTTTTCCCATTTTCCCCCATATTTTTCCAGAGATAGTCTATGAATATGCATGTATAATACATACCCCTTTAAGACACAAATTTACAGCTCTACACACACCTTTATCCCTTACTTTTTTCACTCAGAAGACCAGAACTTCAGACCTTGTTTCTCATCTTAGTTTTGTGTATCTGAACATCCCTTCAACTTCTTCTTTTGTCAAAAATAAGACTCGGTTGTTCTCTCAAGTCTCATCTGGCTCTAATATTCAAGGTCTAAAGGCAGTAACTAGAGAGCCAAAAGTGTTAATTCATACCAGAAACACATGGTAATAGCTGGTAATGTATCTGCTGGGACTTAATTCTACCTTTGGGGATGAATGAGTTTAATTATGAAACCCTAAACTTGTGGTGGTGTCTTTAATAAGCTAGCATGCTTGGCCCTTCACCCTCCCATCAGTTCAGTGGATGTGTTGCGTTGTACTTAATAATCTCTAAACCAGGACAATCTAACGAAACACTGGAAAACTGGAAGGAGGAGAAATGCCTGGAAGACGACCAGTTGAATACCAAAGGCCCCTGGGATCCTGCTTCACTACAATTATTTCCGTCTCCTAGGCTTGGCCTTTCTCTCCTGAAAACCACCTCCTTTGGTCTGCCATCTGCCATTTCTCTGACTCTTTATTTAAGTACACTTGGTTCAGTTTTAACTTGAATATTTATGTAGGGGCCCTGGTTAGAATTTACCACTTGACTTATCCTTACTAACTTCCCTCTTGTCCATAAGGGTATTTTTGGTGGTCATAGGAGTGTGGTGGGCCTCCCCAAATCACTCAAGAGAACACTGGGTTTGTGAAACACTATACAAACACCTGGCGGGAAGAAGGAGCCTCAGAATTACTGCTGAGACGAAATGGTGGGAGGAGGTTTCCTTGCCTCTTTTTTCTTTTTTCGAGGATGCAGAACATGGTATGGTTGTGAGTTTTATTTGATGTTTTCTTGGACTTCTATTTGATAACCGGTGTGTGTGTGTATTTGTGCTTGAGTATACATGCACATAAACATCATAATGTGTGTGGACACTGGATCTTTGCCAGCCAGACCAGCTTAGTGGTGAGCGTCACGTCGTATGGGAAAAGCATCTTAGAAGACAACAGAAGACCTGGGGTGGAGTTGTACCTCTGTGATTCCCCATCTCTATGACCTTAGGCAAGTCCCTTATCTTCAGTAAACCTCAGTTGCCTTACCTATAAGACAAATTATAATCTCTGCCTCTCCCACAGAGCTGTTTAAGGGCACAAATGATAATATGAGTTCTTTGTAAGCTGAAAAGCACTATTCAAATTTAAGTTATTATTAATGGAGTGTGACCAAAAGACAAATCGAAACCAACTGAAATGTCAAAGACGTTCAAAGAATGATGCCAGCCAAAGCAAATGTGAGGTTAACGGCAATAATGACAAACCTAACATAAATAAGATAATAATGGCCACTAAAATGTACTTGTTAAAAATGGCAGGAAAGAACAGCTGAACCAAGGCAGTTGTGCATTCTGGAGGCAGAGTAGCCAGCCCTCATCATTTTGAACAGCCCTAAATGGCTCCCTGTATCTGGGTAGGGCTGCAGAGATCTTAGGTGTCCCCGAGTGACCTGGAATGTATATAACAGAATAATGTGATAGATGGTATTTTAGACGATCCTCAGCATTTTGTTTGTACATTCATCCTCATGAGATTTTGGCTTGCTGTGCAAGAGAATGTTTAAGTATTTAAACCTTCAGTTCTTGCCCTGTAGACAACTTTCCCTTTCACACGGGGCTGACACAGCACATCTGTGTGTGTGTGCGTGAGTGTCCATGTTGTGTGTGGTTGGGCAACCGCTCTCATCTGCTCCCGGGCAGTCCTCCTCTGCACCCCCTACTTGCCCCTTTCACAGGGTTCGTAGTGTCTCAAGGTCTCAGATTTACCACAACTGGAGCAAGGGAAAGTCAAGCAGAGTCCTACTCCAATATTCACCAGAATTGTCTTCTTGGCTTTTCCGTGCCTATCAAAGAAAATTCTCTCCTGATTGCATTTCTCAGGGCAATTTGTTCATTAGACAGAAATGTTTACGGAGCACCTACTGATCACTGTGGACTGTTCTGGGTCCTGGAGAAGAGCAGTGAGTTAGAAAGATGAGGTCCTGGATCTTATGGAACTCACATTCTAGTATGTGGAGACAGGCAGCCAAAAAGTAACAAATAAACTGTGTAATTCCAGATTTGAGTGCTGTGAAGAAAACAAAGACGATAAAGGGCTGGAGAATGAGGTGGAAGACACTGTTTTGGAAAGGGTGGAGGAAGACATCTCTGAAGAGGTAAACTTTGGACAGAGAAGTGAAAGTTGAAGGGTTTATCATCTCTCTTAAGACCCAATACTGAAAAAAAGAGTCTTATTTATTACAGTGATAGTTGCAGGTACCTTTCACTCATATAAACCTGTTTCAAATCTTTATTCCTCATCTATGTCTACCTTCATTTTGACCTCTATTTATTGTGTTCTTTTTTCCTGGGGGATTCTTTTTTTTTTTTTTTTAATCACTCTCCAGATTTCAACTCTACTGCGTGAGTTTGCTAGGGCTGCCATAACAAAGTACCTACCCAGATGAGGCAGCTTAAACAACAGACATTTATTTTCTCGGAAGTCTGAGATCAAGGTCTGGGCAGG